TGAAAAACGTTTTTCACAAAAGGACACAAATCAAATAATGACTAATTATAATCTACTATAAATCCACTATAAATCTACTATAAATCAAACGACTGTGATTTTTTATTAAATCAGTATAACCAAGCGATGGCGTATAATTTTTTCCCTAGACACTTGTTCATGAATTACAAATATTTCAAATAATACAATGTATTTCATCTTTTTTTTCAAGCGGTATGAGATGACAAAAGAAAAATAATAAAAATATTCATGCGGACAGCTAATCCCGCGGTAAAAGTTTTCAGCCTCTAAATTTGTTTATGTATTTACCTTAAAATAAAATCTTTGATATATTTTAGTTAATCAACATATTATTCATATCTATCATTTTTTCATGTAGGTGATGTTTTTATTTTTTTTTATTTAATTATAAATCAATGTACATACTAGTATGTATTTATCANTCTTTGATATATTTTAGTTAATCAACATATTATTCATATCTATCATTTTTTCATGTAGGTGATGTTTTTATTTTTTTTTATTTAATTATAAATCAATGTACATACTAGTATGTATTTATCATTATTAAATTTCTGAAAAAACAGTAAACGTTGTTTTGCTATCCATACTTATTTTTGGTATATTTACTTTGGGTTGAGTAAGGAATGCATTTGGGTAGAATAACGAAATTATGTAATGGGTTGAGCTAGGAATACTAATTTGGGATGAGTGAAGAAATGGGTTGAGTTGTCATGGGTCGAATACGGAATAACCCCATTTAAAGTAGGCCGAAAAAAAAGTGTCCAATGCCATAAAAGCTCTAATTTTGCTGCTGTTAATTCAGTATTAAATTAAAAAGTCCAAGGTATTTTAAATATTACAAGTAAGTAGGTACGATCAGTGAGAGTGGCTCTAATTTATTTTTATCAAACATCTAAAATGTAAGGCCATGGGCTACCGGAGGTGTGGCGATCTGCTGAAACCGGTACCTATAAATATTGACATGCGTATAAATGGTATCAAGTGCCGATATTAATCAGGCGCAGCAGATTCATAGCATTTTAGCACTTGAGGTCATCAACTTTCAAATCAATTCGTTTAAAAGCTTTTGCAATGTTTCCGTCAATGTGTCTAAATAATTATCTAAAATGTTTTTCTTCAAAGCGTGTAAAACGCAAAAAAGTACAGGTGGTTCATTCAATAATGATACCCGGGGGTTCCCTAATATTTCATGAGTTTTATTCTAAAAACCACTAATTAGTTTTTATTTAATTTTCTTTAAAACACTTCAATAATTCTATTAACTTTTACGTATGGGTATGTTTAATCATAAAACAGTTATTACAAAATACTTATTTTAATAAAAGTGCATGAAATTCGATATTATTTATTCAACAACTTTTTTTAGGCCGTTTGGTGTAGTGGTTCAGAACGGACTACTATGCCGAGAGGTCCCGGGTTCGATTCCCGGCCGGGCAGAAATTGAAATGATGAATTTTAATTTCTGTGACGGGTCTGGGTGTTTTCTATGTATATTAAGTATTCAAAAATTAAAAAAAAAAATCAAAATTCTTTATTTCTTTATAAAGGCTTACTTAAATACTAATAGACGAAGCCTCCATTTAGGCGTATGATTGCCTGTGCCAGGAGACAACGCTCTGCATAACTATAGGTGTTTTGTGTAAATTCTACTCAAAATCAATAATAAAGAAATATTCTATTATTCTACAATTATTATATTTTTATAAATATAATGATGTGAATATTATGTGTACTTACTGTAGGACGTGCTATGTGTATTATATTATAATTAGGAGTGTGCATTGTGTGTGTGTTATGTTAGTTTATAGTTTTGTATGTATGTTGCGTATGTATAGTAGGTATGGTGTATGTGTAGTGTTGTGTGTGTGTAGTGTAGTGTATGTATAGTGTAGTGTATGTGGAGTGTAGTATGGTATGTATGGTGCTTGTATTCATATTTTATTGTAAAATCACTTCATGAATTAACCAAAGCCTCAACTTCGTCGTAGTCTAAGTCTTGTAACCATTTTTTCATTGTAGATTTGCAATCTGAGAATGTTTTTTTATATGTATAGATCAAGCTTTTTATTTATTTTATTATAAAGATGGGAAGATCGGAAATCAAATTGCATTTGAGCAAACTTTGTTCTGAGTTTGGGAATGGCTGCTACTTTGAACTGACGAGCTCGTCTTTTATCTTCAACGCAAGGGTCGTATGTCAATGTTTTGTGTTTTTTTAATATTAACCCCAGGATATAAAGTTTTCTCACAGATAACAATTTGCTAGTATGGTAGATACCCTGGGTTGAAAAAGTTCTTTTTTTTAAATACATTATTTTGAGTAATGCTCTTTGAGCTCTTTCGATCATCAGAAAACGCGTTTTATGGGCACCACCCCAGACTGAGATACAATATGTTGTTACCGACTGAACCAGAGAAATGTATATTTCATTCAGTAAATTCCTAGTGGTATGGACGTTATTTTCCAGATTTGTAGGAACAATGTGTCTCAGCGTCCGGAAGATAATGTATTTACAAAAAAAAAGTATTTAAGTAAGTTTATATCCGTTGTCTAGTACCCATAGTACAAGCTTTGCTTAGTTTGGGGCTAGCGGCGCAGTGTAAAATGTCCAAGGATATTTATTTATTTATTTATTTAGGTTTTAAAAATGTTCTTTGGAAATACACAAATAAACTGAGGTGAAACTGACGCCATCTGTTGTGTGTGGTGAATACTAAATACCAATGATAAACAACACGCAGCGCTGAGTAAGTCGTTTAAAACCAAACCGCTAGAGGGCGCTGTCAGCAGTACAAATAGTTCCAGTAAATCTCACTAGAGTGCGCTTCCATACTAAGTTCAGCAAGCATTCTTCGAACGAGTTTATTAAAATCAATACAATAAAAATCAATATAAACCTAATATAAAAGTATGTAATAAATCATATAATTTAGTTTAATTTTTGTTGAAAAAAATCATACAATCGAATTCGCATGCAATCGAAGTCGTCCCGTCCCAGCTTTCATTTTAAATCTTAGTAGTAGTTCAAGTCTGAATAACATCTTTTATTTTTCTTCTCATCATATTCATTATCATAATAATCTTATGAAAAATAAAAGATGTTATTCAGACTTGTAAAACTTATGGTAATAATTGTTGGAAATTCCAAGAGAAGTAGAAAAACAAACAACTTAGTTATATGACGTCCCGAAATATGACCTATTTATTTCCCAAGATGGCTGATTAAAGAAAGATGATTCAGTTAATCGGAGCTTATCTTGGATTTTATATCTGCTTATCTAATAAATAATGTCACATCTGAAAATAATGTGTTAATAAAAACACATACAAAAACGTAATAACTTGTATTTATCAAATTAAATTGTAGCACGATACAAAAGACATCAACGCACCAGTGAAGTTTGTAGCACTACATTTTTTTAAAGTTCTTGATGCAAAATTTTTAAAAAAATCTCATTATTTTTTCAAACTTCTTATCTCAACTTCCTGATGTCGTTTTTCATCGTTATCCTAAAATCATAAGATTGTAAAGATTCCACTCTAGATTATTCCATTGTTGCAGTTTCAAATCAAAAGCTTATGTTTTGTTCTTTGGCAATTTCAGGTAGACATTACCTACAAAAATCTTATTTCAGATATTGTGCAGTAAGAAATCATTTTTTACTTTATCAGCTTGCGTTGATGGTACATTTTTGTTTAAATTATTTCGCATGTTTCATAACATAGAGTAGTGGTATCGATTAGCAAACAATCGAGTTAATCAATGTAGCGAAACCTATACAAGCGCAAATACATTTTCATTATACATTTTAATGTAAGTCTTAGTCATAAAGTTAAAATACCTAATGGTCTTAGTCTTAGTACAGAACTTTTTCCAGTCATTCTCATGTAAATTATTTGTTATGCTTCATTAATTATGACTTAGTATTGTTAATGCCAATACCAGTGATAAAAATAAATCGCGTCAAACAAATAAAGAAGACTCGCCTACGTGGAACCGTATCCCATCTTTCAGGTTCCGTGGGCCCAAACGCGTCGGCCGTGTAAAATTGACTGCCTCTTGTCCGATGGATCTTGTTTAATTTTTTTTCCTCGTTGAAGGTGTATCAGACGCATTATCCTGGAGGAGGCTTCGTTTTGGGCGCGGGGAGGGGCGCGGCGGGCGCGCGTGCGCATATCTCGGCAGTGACGTCACGAGGGCCCGGTAAAAAACGCCATGAACTCGCGCAGTCAAGGTCCCGCTGACTCCTGCATTTACATCTTATTATATCCACATATTAATGCGTTTCGCTCACGTTTGTTATATGTGCTCGAAGGGCTTCGCAATGCTGGTTTACGACTACCATGTCTGCATTTATTCGTATTCAACTGAGAATGCGCTCGGAGGCACGAGATGGTGCATTAAATTTAACAGAACATGATTTGATGTAACCACTGACTATAAATCTATTTTCAGTTACAACGCTTAATCACCGCCAAGTAACCCATTTTACAAGGCGTTAGATGATATAATGGCGATGTAAACGACTTTTAACGGTAATTTTGTAGGGAAATACGACTGTCGTCTGCGGCACAAGATCATTCTTTCGTGCCACTACAGTTAGACGCGTGCATAGATTAATATCAGACATTCAATTTATGGTAGTCACACATCTGGATGTGGCTGGAAGCGTTCTAGCAAGTGCTAGCGCTGTTAATGAAGCAGATGCAGTTTTGTAATGCTTTAAATGTTTATTAGTAAGATATGTTGGTACTCTAATGATTGGTACAGCACCGTATTACGTAGTACTTATTATTATTCTGTGGTATTACTGATTTAATATCTATTTATATGGTCAATAAGTTTTGTAATACCAATACTTTACTAAAGATAGGTAGACAGTAGACACCTTATAAACAGTCAATATGTGATATTGGTAGGCCATATTATTTATGCCCATTCATATTTTTAACGCAACCAATTTCTTTTTTACAGGTGGTCGTGGTAGGCAACAGCACTGTAGCCGAAGTGGTGTGTGAGCCCCTCCAAGAGGCTGGTGCCGTAGTAGCGGGCTTGCCGACGGGACCCCTCTCCGCTCCTCAAGCCGTTTCACTATCCGGCCCCCTGCCGCCTCCAGCCGCGCTGTCGGGACCCCCGGCCCCACCAGCCGCTCTACTCTTCTTAGGAGGCTCCAAAGCCCCCGTAGAACCCAGGGCTTCTGCGGCTCATCTAGAAGGCGAGGTCCTCGTCGTGGAATACCAGCCTCAGCAATGGGACGGCAAGGACTTGGAGACGTTCATTGCGTGGGAGAAGATATACGGTTAGTGTCACTGATAAATCGTTAGCGCATAATCAGGTGATTTATTTTGTGCCTCACATTCATTTGTGTCAGTGGATTGATTATTCGGACTATAAAACTCCTGATTTGGTTTGAATTTGCTTGTTTTTGAATTGCTAATGCGACGAAGGTCAACTTTGAGTTGGTGTGGCTTTCCAATTCTAATTTGGTCATGAAAAATAGAGTAGAATAGAGAGATACTTATCTATTTCCTTTTTAAAGGTTACAGATTACTCAGAAGCATCCTTTTCAATTTCAACTTGCGTTATTAGTTACAAACTTTAACGGGTTTCTGTGGATTCTACATACGAGTAAAAGTCATTAGTTAGATGCCCTGTTAATTGCCTGCATTCAATGCACAAACGTTTTTATCACAAGGTATAAATAAAACCTAATACGGCACAGCAACGCAACGGTCGCAAAGGAACGTATTCGGCGCTCAGTATTCCGCGCGTGAACAGAGCGATGTTTGTAGAAAGCGGTTTGGCAATAATGAGGCGCGTACGCACACCATTGTCCGGTAATCTTTCGCAGAAGTGACTTGTATGCATTAGGCTTGCAATCGCCGTGACTATCATATTGATATTATAATCTGAGACTCATGTCCATGAAAGTACAACTATGTACCTAATACGAGTACATAAATGGCTTACTATAGCAGTAACTTTTATTTCATTCATCCAAGTTTTTCATGTTCACGGTACAAGATGTTAGCATAGAAAGCTCAAAGTCAATAGTAGTCAGTCATGTCAGTCAATAATTTATTCAATATTCTCGGTTATTATTGATTAACTTGTTACAAGTGCTGATTAGTTCAAGGAGTTAAAAAGGTCTCGGTCGTTTGCAGATGAACTAAAATGCAAGGTGAACTATCAACTGATTAGTAATCTGACCTTTCTACACCCACAAATATTGACACAGTTCCGTCGTGATTGGAATCTTTATCTACCTACGGATCCATTATTTTATTTTATCCACAAAAACGAAACCCATTCTGTAATTGTAATAGTTGGTCGTATTAACAAAAAGATATACCTACATAATAGGCAGACATTATAAAATATGTATTATACATTAGTTTTACAATTTGCATACGTTAAAAGCTAGGAATAGGCTAGAAGCCAACGTATGAGCGATGTGTGCATCGCTCTTATTCTTATTGTATAATACCGCTTAGTCATCATGTTATAATATGTAGTTGTTCGATTGCTTTTGTCATGTGACTTATTGTCTATGTCTATTAACCAATGCTTTCTCTTTCATTACAGCTGCCACATTATTTTCGGCGGTGGAGTTGTACGGGAAGCCGCTGTTACGAGCTGCAGTCATAACCAAAGAGGAATATCACTTACTATTTTACTATATGGAGTCTGTTTCTGAAGCAAGCGAAGCTCTTACAGAACGTATGAGAAAATACATAGACTCGGGTTTACTCATTAACGAAACTAGCACAATCAAAGAAGCAGATTCAGAATCGATTACATCAAAAAAGTCTCTGATTACTGAAGAACCAAAAAGCATATTGACCGAACTCATTCAAGAAGGAGTAATCTCTCAACAAGACATAGATGCTGCGTCAGAAATCACAAACTCAGAGTTCAACGAACAAGTAACCGATAACCGTAAATCAGACGACGATAATGGTTCGAGTGTTTCCTCTCTAAGTGCAGGTCTACGTAAAGTGATTGTCGACATCCCATTAGACTGCAGCGAGTCTGTGGCCGATAGTTCCATTATAGAGAGTAACGATAATGTGACAACCGTAACAATTAGGAGTGGCGGGCAGTGCTGCGCAGATCACAGAATATCCGCCGACGTTACAGATAACGTCTGGGCTAACGTGAGATGGGATTTCTTAAATCCTAATGACTTCGGATACGATCAAGTTCGAAGCGTCAAGCGAAGTCGCTCCGACTCTGCAATCACGCCGGTAGCGAGACGCAAAAATGAAGATATTTACGAAACCCTGCGCGACGTCGAGGGCGAATCTTGCGGAAGTATAACTCCTTATGAATCTATTGAAGACTTGTATGATTGTATCAAAAACTCTCAGTATGCAAGTGCAGCGGCAGAAGAATCCTCACCATCGACGGAGAGTCAGTCTGAGCCGCAGTACCCTGACTTTTACGAAAAAACGAGCACTACCCGCCAGAGCTCTGCTAGCAGTGAAAAAAGTGGCGCCTCATCCGCGTTTCCATTTTCGAAATGCGGTTCGAGCGATTCGACGGGCGCGTTCACGTCGTGCGAGTCTACGGGCGCGTTCACGTCATGCGAGTCGACTAGCGGGATCAGCACTTTTGCTACGAAAAGCATCCCGGAGTCGCTGAAGTGCCGAGAGCTGCCGCCCCCGCCGGAGGGCGACGCGAGTGAGAGCGTGATCCTCATGAAGCAGCTGTTCATGGGCGAGCTGATGGACGCTTACGGAGAGTTCCTGTCGGCGTACCCGTACGCGCGCGCGCTGCTGCGGCGCAAGGCGCGGCGGGACGAGCACTTCACCGCGCTCTCTGACATCCGAAGAGGAGCTGCCAAGTACACCATCTCTGACTACCTCGAGTTACCGGTAAGTGTTCCTACATTCCTATGCAAAGCAGCGATTGATGCTATAATAGCCGTATGCAATTGAAGGCCTGGCGCACAATAGCAAAGGGTTACGAAAGTCACTGGAACGATAGCGTAATTGTTCCTTCATTGCTCTTGACCTTAAGCAATAGCGGTGTCGGTTCGTGTAGAGTGTAATGAACGTGTCAAATGTGGCCGTTGCGACTAATCGGCAGGAAAACGAGAACAATGTGGCGAAGAGTGTCGCTAGAGATTGATTTAGATCCTGTGAAGGCAGTTTTATCGCGGGAATGATCCGCGCCGGCGCACGCGCGCCCATTCAATGCTAATGGGCCGGAAGAGTGCACGTGGAGCTCTCGGCTCCGCGATTACAGGCATTGTCTCCCTGAACGTTGCCGCGCCAGTTTCAGATTTCAATGCCCTTGTTCGAGTTGGAGTATGTAATATTTATGAAGTTGTAATGCCTAATTTGTGAATGTGTACAAGTATTTTTTGTAGAAAAGCCGGTTTCTCTTGATTCCCTACCCCATACAAAATTATGACGAAACTCATCTACCCAGTTGTCCTTTAACCACATAAACTACATGATGTATATTAAATTCTCTGATTTTATCAGTTGGTTGGATAATGAAAGCTTTCAAATATTTAGATTACATTCAGCTCTGAAATATCTACTACTATTAATAAAGTCGCAGAACAAAGAAATAACTATGCAAAAATAAAATGTAACAACTAAAGTCAAATATTATAATCACGTTAGTACTTACTAAAACAACTTATGTACCTATAATAAAAGCTATTTAAATCAGTAGAAAGAAAAAAAACTTTAGTAGCTACATAGTTTAAAAACGATGTAATAGGTAAGTGCTGTATAATTTTAATAAGATACAGCTGACTAGACCTTATCCAGAACCTATGGAACTATTATTTTTTAATAAAACAGTATTTCAGCTCCATTTTATAACCTTTTTTATAGAATAAAGATTATCTCAAAGTGTTTTAACTCTTCTGGTGAACTGTACACATACGCATAATGTGTGAAATGGATTCATGATTTTGATTTTATCGAAGACGGTCGCGCGTTTAAGGCAGATACTAGATACTTTAAATGAAACTTCATGTAAGGGGTTTCGAAGTATTTTTATAAAAAATATCATATATTCAAACCAATAAGACCATACATTCATAGGTAAATCTGAACAAGCTCTTGAGATAGTTTCTACAGAATTGCTGAACAGCATTCTTGACATAATTTAAAAAGTAGAAACTAGTAACTTAAATATTAATAGTTCTTAAAGTATTAAAGTAATAAGTAGTTATACAAATAACAGTTGTTATTAATTAAAATAAAAGTAGAATGATGGAAAGGAATGTGCCAAAATGATGAGATTGGAGCACAATCTCAGTGTTTCGGCCATCAAATCAATAACATTCAACAGTAAGATGCGGTGCTTTACTTAATAGACTGCGAAAGTAAATCGTTCACTCTTATTTTCTTTTTTTACTCTTAAAAATCTGCGAGTGGCAACCCTAACTCTACGGGGGTAACATGACGCGTGAAGGCATTGCTTGCGCGAGAAGATCAGATAGCACGCCACTAATGCCCTGTCGCTTTTGCGCTACCAGCGGCTGCGCGGGAGTGTGCGTTTTTATGACTGCGCTAGATTTATTCCTATTACTAGCATTAGCCATTGTGTTGCTAGCACGTAATGAATGACGCTGCAAAGTACCCTTTGCATTGTAAGATATGGCTTGGCACGATGATCCTGCGTGGAGAGTTTAGAAGAAACAATAAATTTAAATTTTATTTTTCTTTATTTAGGAAACAAATAGGTATATTGCTAATACTCGCAGTAGAACTAAATTGAAGTTAGGTATGGATTTAAATATAAATATTAGTATTCTAACAGTCAATACTGTTTTGGTGAAGTATCTCTTTTATGGACAGTTAATGGGTTAACTTTTTAAAGTTATACTTTTTAAATGCCTGTACCTACCTACCTCCTGAAAAGGTATAAATTAACTGGGTGTGTACCGCGGGAGCTATACATCTTTCTCTATAGCACTATCGCAATAGAATTTGCCACGAACCCGTAGGCAATGAGTTGGCAGTAGATATTTTTAGTAAGATTAGAAAACTAATATCAAAGTTATAAGTTTCTTCCAGATTCATAAAATTTAATCATCTAACGAGACGTGCATTTTTTTCCTAATATACTTGCTTGTTAAATGGCGCTTATTATACCGTTAAGTTTATAACAGCCTAGGATAGACCATCGTTTTAGGCTAGCTATTAAGTAACCATTTACATTTATCAGAAATAAGAAAATTAGACTTGTTTTATTTAACGTCCTTTTAAATAAATACCTTTAAAGTTTACAAACGAGAAGTGAAGATAATGTTTACCAGATTGCATTATCTGAAATTCCAGAGCCACGACGCCATTAATGTCACACCCGGAGAGACGATTAATCTTGCGTATTATTTTAAGAATAAAAAATAATTGCACAGGAGCCCTCTGTTGCGATGGTGAAACATAATTAATCATTATATTAAGTGCCGAGATTGTACGGGTACTCGTATTGTTTTTATTGAAAAGATACCTTTTGGTTAAATTATATACACAGTAACATCGAAAGAGCAACAACCGAGTAAGCCGATATACGAGCAGGTATGCTGAAAGTTTTAGGGGTCCCAAATTCAATGAGAGGAATTGATTTAGAATTTTGACAGAGCTACATACATTTCCCTTCATTGATTGTGGTTTTAAATTATTGAAATCGTGCTACGGATTTTTCCGTTTTTTAAGCAGCTGCGAATATTTCTTTCTAATTAGGCAATAGGCCGTGCGTTTCTAATGTAAAGCTGTTACCTTGCAATTATTGAAAACATTTGATCAATTAAAAGAAAGCAACAATAAGAATATTTTACTTTACTTTATGGCTTGCTCGACTAATCAGATAATTCCGTTCAGATCATCTTTCCACCCGGCATTTACCGACGCGGGCGCATGATTAAGGACGCCTACAGAATGGCTACGATTAAATCGAGCTTCGCCATCTTGTATACGCCATTGCTCTTTTAGAAGTCATATATTATATGAAAATTGTGTTACAAATGAAGCAAATATTACACCTGAAGTCAATTTCTAAGTAGGCATAATGTTGAGTTTACCTAGGTACCTACTTCTATTTATATGTTAGGTATTCTAGTTTATAAGCACTTTAAGGCAAAATGATTCAGTATTTATTTAATATAGGGGGCATTTCACGCGAAGCGGACAGCGAAAATCAAGTCAGGTTTTGGATTTTGTTCATATTTGGATTAAATGTACTGCTATATAATCTGAATGGATGTGCATCATTATATTTTTTTTATGAAGCTTAGTTTATTTTTTATGAGCGTTCAAAAAATTGGTAAAATTTTAGGAACAGATTTTTCTGAAGCTATTACTGCTATTATTACATTTGATTAAAAACAAACTGACTATTGGACTTTTGAGAATAAATAACTGTGTTTCTTACTATTTACTACAAATTTGAAATTTCTTTTTTGTTCACATAGAAAACCGGAAGTAAAGTTTTAAAATCGAATTTTACAAAACTTCGGTATTTTTATTTTTTTTTATTTTTATTTTAAAATATACCTAGTAGTCTATAAATAACGTGTGTAAAGTTGTAGAATGGAGTCTGTATTGGTTTTTGATTTAGACGCAGTACAGTGCGAGCGCGCCGCAATGAGCGTCATACTGGCTATCGACATTTGGCTACTGTATAAAAATTATTTGTTCGAAAACAACTGAAACGTTAATATTGTTGCATGCATACTCTTAAACAATTATAATTTTGACTCGGCGAACTTCGTACCGTCTAACAGACAATATTTTTATACAGTAGCCAAATGTCGATAGCCAGTATGACGCTCATTGCGGCGCGCTCGCACTGTACTGCGTCTAAATCAAAAACCAATACAGACTCCATTCTACAACTTTACACACGTTATTTATAGACTACTAGGTATATTTTAAAACAAAAATAAAAAAAATAAAAATACTGAAGTTTTGTAAAATTCGATTTTAAAACTTTACTTCCGGTTTTCTATGTGAACAAAAAAGAAATTTCAAATTTGTAGTAAATAGTAAGAAACACAGTTATTTATTCTCAAAAGTCCAATAGTCAGTTTGTTTTTAATCAAATGTAATAATAGCAGTAATAGCTTCAGAAAAATCTGTTCCTAAAATTTTACCAATTTTTTGAACGCTCATAAAAAATAAACTAAGCTTCATAAAAAAATTATAATGATGCACATCCATTCAGGTCATATAGCAGTACATTTAATCCAAATATGAACAAAATCCAAAACCTGACTTGATTTTCGCTGTCCGCTTCGCGTGAAATGCCCCATAGGTCTTTTTAAATACTCTAAATTATTATTTTATCAAACTCCACAACTCTACAAACGCATCAATTCATTTCAATATAGTTATTAAGACATTCTTATTCTGAAAGCTTGATATTAATTCAAGATTGTGACTGGTTTTTCAATCACAGGCTCTTCTTGATAATATTTATAAAATAACGCTTTCGAACGTGGACTCTCGGCCTAAATGTCCTTCAAAGATAGAAAAAAATATGTAAATTAAAATAAATATACTTCACGATGGTAATTCAAAAGTTACCGACATCTTATAATAAAATAAACTAACTTGAAATCAATATACGGTAGGAAATTAGTGCAATAACAGATTATATTTATTTTATTGAGAAATAAACGTTCATAAAGGAAAATGTTATTCCCATTCTCATTGAATGGGGACTAACTAACTGTAAATGAGTATGAAGTATTTCCTTGAGCAAATTAAGGGCAAATAAAGTCGCCATGTCTTTATACTGCAGTTTTATGAAGTTACCACGGGTCTTGCACGTCAATTATAGTAAGCAAGTCTACCATTACTGTTTTAATATCCTATGATTGAAAACGATAAATGTCGACAAATCACAGCCACTTAGAAAACGGATTTATTGATAATCAGGTTAATGTTTCACAATCGCTTAGAATCCTGTC